CTGCTTCAGTCCCTCCCTCTCCCCAGTCCCGCCCACACCGTATATAAACCTCTCTCCGTAAAGTTCGCCGCTCATTCTGTTATAGCTCCCGCCTGCTCGGTGTATTTAGGCTCCTCCCCCTTTCTTTTGGTGACACGTGGGTTTGCGAACGTCACGCCATGAAGGAGTGTAACGGATCCGGTGAGCCCTCTTCGTCCGGGACAACGCTCTGATGCTGCTGACCGTGGCCGGGGTGCTGCTGGGGGCGGCTCTGGGGATGGGGCTCCGTCCGCTGAACATGTCCCCGGTACAGATCGTTCACTTCTCCTTCCCGGGAGAACTTCTCATCCGCCTGCTGAAGATGATCATCCTCCCGCTGGTGGTGTGCAGCCTGGTGTCCGGGGCCGCCTCCCTCCAGCCCTCCGCCTTGGGGCGCCTCGGAGGATGGGCGATGCTCTTCTTCCTCGTCACCACCCTGCTGGCCTCCGCCCTGGGGGTCTGCCTGGCCCTGCTCATCCGGCCCGGGGAAGGGGCCACCAACGAGCTGGAGGGGGAGGAGGTGGAGGCCAAGGAGGTGGTGGACTCCTTCCTGGACCTCATCCGGTAAGACTCCGGGGGGAGTGAGTGTCTGGGGCAGTTACTGTGAGAGGTGTGGGGGTGTTAAAGTAATTACTGAGGGGTGTGTGTGTTTGGGGTAATTACTGAGGGAGGGGGGAGTATCTGGGGTAAATACTGAGGACCCCATATGGCATGGTGGAGCCCCTCCCAGTGCCCTTCCACCTGTTGGGGTATTTGGTCAGTGGGGGGCAATTCTCCTGGGTGGGTGACAGATGTTGGGATGTCTGTGGGGCAGATATCAGGCTGTAGGTGGTAAGTCTAAGTACAGATGTTACAGCCGTGGTGCCTGTAAATGTATACAGTTGTCTTGGTTGATGTGCTCAGTGTAAGTGTGTACGGTTGGCGGTGGCGTTGCTCCGTGCGCGCTGGATAGGCTGGTGGTGGCGTTGCTCCTTGTGCGTTGGGTACGGTTGGCGGTGGCGTTGCTCTGCGTGCGTTGGGTACGGTTGGCGGTGGCGTTGCTCCGTGTGCGTTGGGTACGGTTGGCGGTGGCGTTGCTCCGCGTGCACTGGGTACGGTTGGCGGTGGCGTTGCTCCGCGTGCACTGGGTACGGTTGGCGGTGGCGTTGCTCCGCGTGCACTGGGTACGGTTGGCGGTGGCGTTGCTCCGCGTGCGTTGGGTACGGTTGGCGGTGGCGTTGCTCCGCGTGCGTTGGGTACGGTTGGCGGTGGCGTTGCTCCGCGTGCGTTGGGTACGGTTGGCGGTGGCGTTGCTCCGCGTGCGTTGGGTACGGTTGGCGGTGGCGTTGCTCCGTGTGCGTTGGGTACGGTTGGCGGTGGCGTTGCTCCGCGTGCGCTGGGTACGGTTGGCGGTGGCGTTGCTCCGTGTGCGTTGGGTACGGTTGGCGGTGGCGTTGCTCCGCGTGCACTGGGTACGGTTGGCGGTGGCGTTGCTCCGCGTGCACTGGGTACGGTTGGCGGTGGCGTTGCTCCGCGTGCACTGGGTACGGTTGGCGGTGGCGTTGCTCCGCGTGCGTTGGGTACGGTTGGCGGTGGCGTTGCTCCGCGTGCGTTGGGTACGGTTGGCGGTGGCGTTGCTCCGCGTGCGTTGGGTACGGTTGGCGGTGGCGTTGCTCCGCGTGCGTTGGGTACGGTTGGCGGTGGCGTTGCTCCGTGTGCGTTGGGTACGGTTGGCGGTGGCGTTGCTCCGCGTGCGCTGGGTACGGTTGGCGGTGGCGTTGCTCCGTGTGCGTTGGGTACGGTTGGCGGTGGCGTTGCTCCGCGTGCACTGGGTACGGTTGGCGGTGGCGTTGCTCCGCGTGCACTGGGTACGGTTGGCGGTGGCGTTGCTCCGCGTGCACTGGGTACGGTTGGCGGTGGCGTTGCTCCGCGTGCGTTGGGTACGGTTGGCGGTGGCGTTGCTCCGCGTGCGTTGGGTACGGTTGGCGGTGGCGTTGCTCCGCGTGCGTTGGGTACGGTTGGCGGTGGCGTTGCTCCGCGTGCGTTGGGTACGGTTGGCGGTGGCGTTGCTCCGTGTGCGTTGGGTACGGTTGGCGGTGGCGTTGCTCCGCGTGCGCTGGGTACGGTTGGCGGTGGCGTTGCTCCGTGTGCGTTGGGTACGGTTGGCGGTGGCGTTGCTCCGCGTGCACTGGGTACGGTTGGCGGTGGCGTTGCTCCGCGTGCACTGGGTACGGTTGGCGGTGGCGTTGCTCCGCGTGCGCTGGGTACGGTTGGCGGTGGCGTTGCTCCGCGTGCGTTGGGTACGGTTGGCGGTGGCGTTGCTCCGCGTGCGTTGGGTACGGTTGGCGGTGGCGTTGCTCCGCGTGCGTTGGGTACGGTTGGCGGTGGCGTTGCTCTGCGTGCGTTGGGTACGGTTGGCGGTGGCGTTGCTCCGCGTGCGTTGGGTACGGTTGGCGGTGGCGTTGCTCCGCGTGCACTGGGTACGGTTGGCGGTGGCGTTGCTCCGTGTGCGTTGGGTACGGTTGGCGGTGGCGTTGCTCCGTTTGCGCTGGGTACGGGTGGCGTTGCTCCGCGTGCACTGGGTACGGTTGGCGGTGGCGTTGCTCTGTGTGCGCTGGGTACGGTTGGCGGCGGCGTTGCTCCGTGTGCGCTGGGTATTATTATACGGGATTTATATAGCGCCAACAGTGTGCGCTGCGCTGTACAATATAAGGAAGAGAAGATGGTGAGGAGGGTCCTGATCCTGAGAGCTTACAATCTAAGAGGGAGGGGCCAGTGATACACGAGGGGGTCGTACAGCTGTCACCATAGTGTGCGTTCGGCTTCCTGCTCGCCGGCTGATGCAATGTTGTCTGTTGGTTGAGTGTGATCCACGTGTGTCGCGCCCCCTCCCCTCCCCCTGTGATGAGATGTGCGTCATTGTGTGCGGGATCCTCCTGCACTGTACACACAGCCCCTCCCCCCTCCGTGTCATGGAGCCAAGTCTGATTCTATTC